AGAGCAACTCTGCCTCGGGCTTCCTGTAGTCAGCGCTGGTCAGTTTCAGCAGCGGCTGAATCAGGACGCCAGTTCCGACTTACATACAAATTCAACTTAAGAACAAACCTACAGTCCCTATCTTGTACGCAACCCGGGGACTGCCTGTACTAATATATCATGAGCTTTCGTGGGTAAAATGGATATAACCCCCCATGGGGGGGGTTATGGTGCTTAATTGTTTGTAAAGTGTTTAGAGAACATTAGAAGTACTATAGAATAACAGAATATTATTACTTGGAACTTAGCTATCAGAATACTTTTGAATATGTAGTTGGGAGACCAAGGGTACGTCTAGACTACCGGGTTTTGTCGACAGAAGTTTTGTTGACAATATCTGTCAACAAAACTTGTCGACAAAGAGCTTCCAGACACATTGAGTTCTGTTGACAAAGCAAGCTGCTTTGTCGACAGAACCCTGTAGTCTAGACGCAACCCTACAGGCAATAACACCTTCTGTCGACAGGACTCTGTCGACAGAAGGTGTTATGCCTCGTAAAATGAGGTATACCAGCGTCGACAAAACTGCTGAGTTCAAACTTCCGTCGACAAAGAGCGTCCAGACACATTGAGTTCTGTCAACAAAGCAAGCTGCTTTGTCGACAGAACTCCGTAGTCTGGACGCAGTGTTACAGGCAATAACACCTGCTGTCGACAGAGTTCTGTCGACAGAAGGTGTTATGCCTCGTAAAATGAGGTATACCAGTGTCGACAAAACTGCTGAGTTCTGTCGACGTTATGTCGACAGAACTCAGCGGTAGTGTAGACGCTGGTATAGTTTTGTCGACAATAGTCCTCTTTTGTCGACAAAACTAGGTAGTCTAGACACACCCCAAGACACTGTAACAAGGGCAGATTGATAGCTGCTGTATTAACTCTCATGAACATATGTGGTTGTAGAAACACTCTAGACTCAACCCCTATAGAAATAAACTCAAATTTAAGACCCTGACATGCAGCATAGCAGAGCTTAAACTTTTGGCTATCCCTTTTTAAGCATAAACAACAATAATCCCTATTATCATATCTTAGAGAATGTTTCTTTTTCTTTTTTTCCTAGACTTTATATTCAGAGCACCCATCAAATTAAGCAAACCAGGGGAACTGCGTGAGGAATATGAAAGCCAGCTGAGGAAGGTACAGTATTCTGTTTAATCATGACTTTCTTCTACAGCAGGGGTGGGCAATATTTTTTAATGGGGGAGCCACTTAAATATTTTGGTGAGTGGTTAAGGGCTGCACTTTTCGATGGAGTGGAGTCCATGGTGTGGGATGGTGGTTGTGTGCAGAAGTGAACTTGGGGTAGGGGTTTGGGGTACAGGAGAGAATGTGGGGTCTGAGAAGGAATTTCAATGAAGGAGGGGGTTGTGACCTGGGACAGAGGATTGGGGTGCAGGGTCTGGGAGGAGTATGGGTGCAGGAGAGGATTCTGGCTTAGGGGGGAACGTAGGAGGGGTGACCTGGGACAGGGAGTTGGGAGCACGGAAGGAAGGGTGGGATGCCAGAGGCAGGCTCTGGCTGGGAGGAGCTTACTTAGGCGGCTCCCAGCCAGCCAGCAGCCCAGTGTACACCACTCAGAGGGGCTGGCTCTTTGTGTCGGAGGCTTTGTGCACTGCTCCTGACCCCAGCAAAATCTCTCGGCTCCCATTGGCCGGAAGCCTCTCTCTCTCCTCCTCCTCCTCCCCCCAATGTTGTGGCATAGAGAGCCACATGGAACAGCCAGCCACTTGAAGCGGCATGGAGCTGCTCCCTGCCTGAGGGCCCCAGTAGGGCAGGCTCTGGATTAATGGGCTTGGCAGGCTGGATCTTGCCCACCCCTGTTTTAGAGTAACTTGGTACCCTTATAAATATGCCTGCTTACCCTTTGTGGAAAATTCAAGGGGCTCTTTTCTTTTCTAAAACAAAGGTAATTTATCCCTTCAGTCAGTTCAGGAAAATGTTGGCTAGTGTTTCTGGAACCAGCCATCTGTTATCTTAAGCAATGTCTACACTACAAACTTTAGTTGACACAAGTTATGTCATGCACTCATACATATGCATACTTGGCGCTTATGTCAGTGCTATGTGTGTTCACCAGGAGGATTTGTATTGAGGGAATGGGCTGCCACCATGAGTAGGCATCTCCAGTGTGCCATGTGCTGCTGTCTGGTGCGGTACCTTCTGGAAACTCTTTGCAGTAGGCTGTGGAGTGAAAATGAGTCTCCCAAGATGTCTGGCAGCAAGAGGTCAAGTTCCCAGCATGAAACTTTCTCCATTTCATAATGCTATCCATATCCCGAAAATTTCTCACTTCTTTATTCTCACAAATGTGTGCGGCACTTTTCAGTGTTCCCTATCTCTGACAGAAGCACGGAGACCACAGTATTATTTTCATGAACACAGCAAATACAGGACACACAATCCTCTTGTATTTGCAGACCTGCTGGAAGTCCTGCAACAATGGTGGACATGATGATTTCTGGAGAACAGTTTGCTGAAGGATATAGCAAAAAAACAATTCAAGGTGGTTGGTGACATTCACAGACCAGTGTCAAATGGTGAAGTGCTGCTTCTGGGCCAGAGAAATAAGCACTCTGGGATTGCATTTTTCTGCAAGTTTGAACAATGAGCAGTAGCTACAGAAAATTCAGATGTGAAAGGCCATATAAAAAAAAATCCATAGTGGGGGCAGTTGTCAAGAAAGTATGTAGGGCCACTAATTGTTTCCTGCTGCGTAAGACTAACTCTCAGCAATGTGTAGGCCATAGCAGATGGATTTGTAGCACTAGGGTTCCTGAACTAGGGCGATAGATGCACACACATCCCTCTTATGGCACAGTGGCCAGAGTACCTCATCAGAAAAGTTTACTTTTCTATGGTTGTGAAAGCATTGGTAGCTTACCAGGGATGCTTCACCAATATCAGTGTGGGCTGGTCTGGAAAGGTGCAAGACACTTGCATCTTCAAGGACACAGGACTGTTCAGAGAGCTGCAAGCATGGACATTTAAAATTGTGAAGGCAACAAACATTTCTGTCCATTACAGTGCACAAATATAGTCTGTCATGGCTACATATACATCAACAGTGGTTCTCACAAGTCAGGGTATGTGAAGCTGTGATTTTCCTTCTCCCTTGGTGTGGAGTGAGAGGAATAAAGATCCTGGCCCATGATGCCATGTGTAATGTTGGGGGGTATAGGGAGTGGCTACCATAGAGGTCTCAAAAGACAGCAAAGGGTGGGGAGTTCTGGGATTTTCTTAGACCAGTAGACCTATCAGGGTCAGCATAATTTATGTTTGCTACCTAGGAAGACCCATTATGTGCTGGTGTATCACCCTCTTCTTTTCCTGTTGTGATTCCTTGGCCTTTCTCCTGTCTGCTCTTTCTGTCTCCATGCTGTCTCCCATGGTGTGCCTCCAGGCCTTTTGTTTGCGGGCCAAGGCAGTACTGGCTTTCAGGATCTCACTGAACATGGCCTCCCTAGTCCTTTTCTCCTTTTTATCCTTTCATGAAAGGTTCATACCATTGTCTTGTTGATTCAGACTGGGTGCCTTTTTTAACATTTAGATACTGGAAGCAAAAATGGGTGCACACACTTGTCTGGGATCAAGCTGGCTGGACTGTGGTGGAGTTTCAAACAGGTCCTGGCTCAGAGTATAGACAGACCACCTTCCCTCTCACTTGTCCCCTCCCAATTACCCATGTTGGACTGAAGGATGCTGGTGGAGTCTGCCATGTATGTCATGTAGCTCCTAAAAGCAGCAAGTCTGCAACTCATTACCAGATCCATTGTTGACCCCTCATACATTCTAGTATGCCTCGTGCAGTTCTGTCACTTTGATGCTGCACTTTTGCTGATCCTTGTTGAACTCCTTTGCCTGAATGCTTATAGATATCCTGCTAGGCCCAAGAAGCCCAATACCTCTTGTCTGTTCCTGGCTAGGGTGCATCTAATGCATGGAGGTGGCATGGCTGTTTGGGCAGTTGCACACAAAAGGGAGAGTTGTTATGTGTGCGTACCAAGGTGGTCAGTCAGGAAAAAACATTTCAAAGCTACTCAGGGGGACATAAAGCAGGGATGATTTCAGGTCTCTAACCTCCGGGCAGTGGAGTGTACAATGGTGAGCAGAACAATCATTGTCACAAGGAATGGGGCACTGTGGGATAGCTGCTGAAGGACTGTTAGGGTTGCACTTGCACTGATTGACCCATAGGTCAATCATGGTTCCATATCATTAAAGGAGATGGTTTCTTGTATCACTATAGCCTGGCTCTCCTGTCGGCTGGAGATAAATGTGAGGGCAGACACACTCTCTAGTAGGCTAGCACAAGGCAACATATGTCAATCTAACTTTGTAGTGTAGAGCAGGCCTTCGGCTGCTTTGCAAAAGAAAAATGTGTGTGCTTGGTGCAATTCTGCCATCTTTGTTATACAGGATTTATTGAAGAATGCACTATGGTGAATGTAATAGGTAGGTCAGTTGCAAAGTCAGTTGCAGCATAAATCTCTCCCTTGCCTACTATATTCATTCATAACTCTCAGAATCTTAATCTGTCAAATGGACACTTTCAGTGCTTGGTTTTAGCCAAGGCATGAATTTAAAAAAATTGAGGAGAATCGATTCAGCCCTTTTGGACTTAAATAAACTGTGTGTGGGTGTTTTCCCCATTTTTTTAAAAGAAGCATTGTTTGCACACAAACCACTGAAATAACTGAATTCTAGCCCTAAATATCTCACATGGCTAGTCATTATTCTAGAAATACCTTGATGGGTTTAGTGACTGCTATAGTTAAGGTTGGATAACACTTTCCATTCCAACCCCTCCTTGTAGTTCTGAGTTACTGAGTTACTCATAACTTTCTGAAACTTTCATTTTTTCCAGGCATAAGCCTTGATCTTGCAATCAGATCTGCTAGTGTGGATACATGTTTATTTCAACAGGTTTCCATTCAATAGCCAGGGCCTCTGCCATCAGGCCCATTTGCTAGATTGGGGCTATGCGAAGGTGGCATTTTGGGGTGCTTCGTGGGAGTACTTTTTTTTTTAAAGCTTGACCAAAATGGTTTTGCTGTCTTTGATGATAAGGACAGTATATGTGTGTTTCTCATAGTGAAGGAAATAATATTAGGATGTGTCCTGGGGATTTCTGCTGCGCTGGAGGGAATTTTTCTTCCATCAGCTCCTGGCAGCTTTGTTAATGATTGAAGGCTTCTACTCCACCCTCTGCTACAGTGGCAAGTGCCTTGGTGCATTTCAGTGGGATTTTAATTCTGAAGACTGCTTTGCTCCTCCAAACCACTAGATGCCAAAACTTCTGGGGAGATTCATCCATACTTCTCGCCATGTTCCACAGACCTTTTTATGTGAACATCATCCCTGTGCAGGTTAATCTCCTAGTTAGTGAACTTGTAGCTGATTTGTAGCCCTTTGCATAATTCTGGTCAGTCAACAATTATTGACTGTACAGCAGACCCAATCTAAGTGCTACTGAGTATATGGTTGTCATTCTTGATTTTGTTTTAAACCTAAAGCTCGTTTTTAATCATAGTAATGTTGTCACAGCTGTAGAGCATTGTAATCTTTTTGTAACTGTTTCTTGGCCTGCAAAAAAACAAGTAAGCAAACAGATAACCCTTCTCATTTCCACTGCAACAAAAATGAAATGTATTTTAATGTGCTTCTAGCATTTTGACCATACCACTTGTTTATTTTGCCTGATTTTTGTTCACTGCCAGACTGGAGGCCCTGCTTTCTTCCCCTCACAGTATGTATACATCTCCAATTCTCATCCTGTGAGCAAGGAACAATGTAATTCTTCTGGCAGGTTGTCAGTTGACAAAGTTCTCTAGCACAAATACAAACCTTTTTAAAAAAGAAAGTATTTTTAAGCTAAATAATATTTTGAAGGCTAAATACTGCCCCTCTTAACTCTTGTAACCAGAATTTCATAATACCGCTTTGTATTGTTGTTTGGATAGAATGCTGAACTATAGGGGCAATGCAGCATGAGACTGAAGGTGGTTCCGTATTCCCAATTCCTTATTTGTGGTACAGCTTCTTATTTGTGGTCCCCAGTTCCTTGTTCAAGAGCCAGAATTTTATTCTCTCTCTCTCTCTCACACACACACTCACACACACACACACACACACACAGC